GGGGGGGGGTGTAGGTTGCCAGGGGCTTTGAGGGGCCCAGGATTGCAGGGCTGGGGGGCAGATTCCCTCCGTGGCCCTTTCCCCCGCCCCTCCCCTACCAGCCCTGCTCTCCTGTGACCCTGTCCTGTGTGGATTGACCTCGTGCAGTTTTGAACCTGGTTACATTGGCCTGCGTCTTGGGGCAGTGAGATCCCTGAATTAATTGCACCTGATGCAAAAGAGAGCTTGGTTCTTCTGCTGATGTTGCTTTTCTGAAGCTCTGTGAGGTCCGGTGTTTGTAACAGGGAAAGCTTCTTTTAAAGCAACCCGAGATGCCTGGAAAATGTAGGGCTTGGCTAAAAATCCTTGCATCTGAAAATCCCAAATTGCATTATAGACATTGGTGGGAAATATGCCTCAATCCCCCCCGCCCCATGAATGTATTTATTCCTTTCATTGGGAAACCGAGGCAGGAAGCAGGGAAGTGACTTGTCAAAGTGAGTGACTCCTAGCGAGTTAAATGCAGAGCTCGGATTGGAGCCCGTGCTACCGTATCCCTCTGCTTTAGTAATACATTTCTCTTCCTCCCCTAGCCCAGATATCAAATACCCCTCCGAGTGCTGATATCCACATGCCTATGAGCAGTTGGATCAGCACTCAGAGATTGCAGTGAGGAGATGCATGTAAACCAAATAAGCAATCATTTTTTTTTTTTACCTGTTTTTTCCCCCTCCCCCATTGATCTACAAAATCGGCGATCCAAGTGGTAATCTCGGGACTGGTGCCTGTATGAGAAACTAAATGTGGGTGGAAAGTGTTGATGTATTCGGAAAGACCATAATGAGAAACCTGATTTATCAGCACGTGGCTCTCGGGCTCACGTGTTTCCCTGTCTAAAACTAGGATGTCGTGAGAATCGAGGAGGGAGCGGTGGATATTTGCTCGATGCTTTTCCTTTGGGCGCTGCTGCTGTTTGAGTTAGTGTACAACAGGCCGTTTCAGTGCAGTGTAAAGAAAATGAATAGACAAAACTTGGGTTATTGTAGAGCTGCGATTAACAGGTTGTTTTGCATCCCGCAGGTCTCATAAATGACCATAAAAACGTTCACGGCAATGCCCCCGTGCCTCTGCCTTCCACGACTCCGAGGTGGAGAAATCCCCGTCTGCCTACCTTCAGCAGTCGGGGCGCGTTCTCTGCAAGATATTCCCAGCAAGCCCCAATGGATTTCCAGCAGCATCATGGTAACTCCTGGAGGAAAAAATACTCCCTTGTAAACAGACCACCTGGGCCAACATCCCTTTCTGGGAGCGGTCTGTCTGCTAGCTCATCCCAGGCTTCTGTGAGCCATAGGAGCTGTCAGCCCCTTGGGTCACAGCCAGCGGCTTTGGAAAGGCACGTGGGCTTGACTACAGATGGTAATATAGTTGTTGGGATCAAACTGCCCCAGAGGACTAGCGCCGCTTCAGACAATAGAAGCATTGGTGAGCCGGGGTCTCTGCAAGGTTTGTCTGGGCTGAAGGAGGCTGGAGCTGCCGCAGAGGGTGCTAAAAGATTACATGGATTTTCTTATTCTCAAAACATTGACGAAGAAACATCTTTACCAGTCTCACGTTGTTCAGTGCACCTGGCTCCTGTTACCAGCAGCAGGGGTGATGCAAACCCAGTGTATCTCACAGGAAAGGGCAAAATGAGGACCACAAAACTGCTCGGCGATGTGACTAAAAGTGCCTCTGAGTTATGTCGAACTATAAGTGAAAGTGCCATAGCGTTGAAATCTAAGCTTCTGCAGCCTTCAGCCTTGCCTGATCGAGAGGCAGGCTGGCTGTCATCAGGGAAGAAGTCGGAGCCCCAGGTTCCGGCTCGGTTTAGTTCAGAGCAAGTCGGAGCAGGAAGAGATGATTCGAAAGAGCCAAAGATTTTTGGACATTCGGAAGCTTTCACTAGTTATGCTCAGGCGGCCACTTCAGAGGCTGGTGCGGGCCCAGCTAAGATCAAATTTGTCATGCCGCACAAGACCCCCAGTCTCCAACGAGCTGTCTCACCGGCAGCTTCCAGCAAAACTTTGAAGTTCAGAAAAACCAACTACACGTGGGTTGCAAACCCTGGCAAATGTCCCCGTGTTATGAGGAGGTGGACTAGTCCGAAGGCTCCTGAAAGTGGGAAGAAGCTTGCTTTTAGTGCAGAGCGAGCTGTGAAGCTGCTGCCAAAGGGGGACTTGGGAGCAAAGCAGAAGAAATCTGGATTGCATTCAAAACCGAATGCATCTCCCAGTAAATACAAATGGAAAGCGTCCAGCTTGCAGTCCTCTCCTTCCACATCCAAGTCAACATTCACCTGGCAGTCTGGGAGCCAGCAGGATCCTGGAGTCTCTCGGCTCCCAAGAGCCGACTCAGGCCTTCAGACCCTAAACAATGCATCCGTTAGTCATGGCGGGTTGAAGCCTCCCTTTAACGATGCTGCATTTTCCACATATAAAGTGAAGAGCCGGACCAAAATCATCAGAAGAAAGGGGAGTTCTGGGTAAGTCACTGGGTGTTTCCAGAGTAAATTTTGCTGCTGCGCTAACTGTATTTGCTGTTCTAAGCTGTGTTCCTGCTTATAAAAGCACTAAAAATCCTTCCAGGGACTTTAATAGAAGCGTTGCTCTGCCCTTAATTATACAGTCAGCAATTTGGGGCTGCTCTGATGTGCGTACAGCACGGTCCCAGCCCATGCCTGCAGCTGCAAGGCACTGCTCCACTCCAGTAATCGGTGATAGTATTGTTGCTACTTTTCCAAGCGCAGCATTTCTGGTCAGCATGGAAATGTGCTGCTTTCCAGGGGGCTGAGTGCTAAAGCCTACAAAGTTTTGCTGGTCTGTCTAATTCTGTGTTTAGTTCCCACAGACAAGTGCCGTGTCTCCTCCCTTCCACCACAACTACCTGTTCCTCCTCCAAAAAATGATTGTATCAGCACTTGTAAAACCAGAGACAGTCATAAACAGCAATTAACAGTGGGGAGAAAGGAATCCAATAAGGAAACAGGCTCCATTTGGGGCTTTTAGAGCTTCATTTAGATGCAGGTAATGGGGAATAGAGAGGAAAAAGTTGAATGAATTGTTGAATGTCTTTTGCTGCCCCTTGCACCAGACAGGTACACAAACTCCATCTAGATACAGATGCTCTTGGGCAAGCAGGCAGCAGTTTCTTAGATGACCTTGCAAGATTTTCAGATAAGCTTGTGAGTTTTCCTCTGATCCTATTAGGTTGGGGAGACCTGTGGCTGGGATGGTGCAGTCAGGGATGATCCTTTCTTGAGCAGGGGGCTGGACTAGGTGACCTTGCGAGTTCCCTTCCAGCCCTACTTTCCTATGACTGGTGTACAATAGTACGCTCCAGTGAGGACAAGGGATATTGAGGCAAAAGTCTATTTGCTTGAAAAGAGCCAGAGTCATGATAGCGCCTGTGGTCCCTGGTCTTCTGAGCCTGGGCAGGACTTGCTTGTCTTTGCTGCTTTGTGCTGGCCCCCAGCGTTATCCAAGGGTCTGTAGCACACCCAGTAGCAGCAGCTTGAAACTGAGAAGGATCTGTGGTCCTGCTGCTTCTGGGGATGCCTTTGGGGAAGCACTTGTGGCAGGAACAGCACATGTGTCGGCTGTCCCCTCTGGGCCACAGCTGATGGGTGCTGTGCACACAGGAAAGGGTAGGAATGAAGATAAATGGAAGGGAAGGCAATGGGTGGGTGGAGGCACACGTACAGGAAGGAGGCATGGGCTGGTCAATTTGGTCGTGATCTCTACACCACCAGTTTTGTATTGCTTAAGCTGGTAGGGTGTGAAAGCTCCCCCCCGGAGGCTTCATGATACCACGTTCCTGCTGGGATCAGGAGTGGCATCAGACCAAAAACACTTGGCAATCTGGCCCAAAGTGACTGTTCAAGGCCATGTGATGATGAGGCCAAGTCCAGCGTAGGATGCTGGAACTCCTGGTTCTTATTCCCATGCTCCAGATGTTTTTTTCAGCTGCTTGCTATTTTCTTCCCTACTCTGCCTCAGAGCTGTCTCTGGAAAGAGGCAGAGAGTGTGGGGTCACTTGACTTGTTTTTGTCTGTTTTGGCCTTTTTCCACGTCTTCCCAGCAGCAGCTATCACAAGAGATGAGGTATACATAGATGAGCTGGAATGTCAAATGACTCCTTTATTTGTGCTTTGTCAGGTACTCCTCAAATAGCCCCCTTGCATGCACTTCTCAATTCTGTGCATCTCCTTTTCTCTTATCTAAGAAGGCAGCATGGTTCAGCGGATAAGGTATTAGGCTGGGAGTCTGGGGACTCGGCTTTTTCTCCTAGCTCTACTACTGCCTCACTGTGCCCAGTTGGAAATGCTTCTGTGATCCTCCCCTCCCCTTTAATTCTCATCTGTTGTGTCCCTGCAGTTCCCCAGTCGATAAGAAGAACTCCTCCTCCCCCACCATGCCTCTGAAAAGTCCTAGCTATCTCAGGAAGAGAACCTCCCTGCGGGGGAAACCTTCCCCGATGTTGAAGAGAACTTCACCCAAAGGTCGGCTGGTGCAGCTCACCAAGCACAGGCTATGCCGGCTGCCTGCCTCCAGAACGCACGTCCCTGCCAAGGAAGGTAAGCGTGAGCCAGGGAAGTCCTGGCCTGGGTGTGTGGTGGTAGCACTGGGGTGTTTCATAGTGGGAAGCAATTTCAGGGAGGGAGGTGGAACTTGTGCATCTTTCTCAGTGATGTGACTCTGCTGAGCACTCATGGGGGAAAATTAAGAGGAAAAAGACAGAACAGCCTTGATTGGAATGAGAGCTTCGTCCTACATCGGGACTTTCACAAGAGTGCTCATCTCTTCTGAAACCTCTATCCAGGACCAGTTCTAATCAGCACCCGTTATAGACCTTCCCCTTTCATCCAAGTTACTGATGCTAGACCATGAGTTCAAGACCAGTGTTTACTAGGACAAAATGTTATTTTTATTGGTCCTTTAGATTTCACCGTGCATAGGTCCGGGTGCAGCACTGAGTCATCCTATGCGTTTTGGGAGGGATCCGATCCCTGACTGCGAGTGTATTGATGGGTCTGTACTCCCCATGCTTAAGACACCTTGTCAGCATGAAAACAACTGAAGCAGTGATTGATATCTGCTGCATTTAGATTACATCCTGCCCTGCCCTTTTCTTGCAGCATCTTCTTGCTGTGTAGATCAGGACTAGGCAAAGAAACTTTCCTTTAAAGACCTTGAAGTCTAAACAGACTCACGGAAGTCATGCCCTGCAGGGTTAGAAGAATGCATGTTTCATGGGTCAGAATAGAGATGGTTTAAGCGGCCTAGACTACTGGTCCTCAGCCTTTTTTGTACTAGGACCCATCTGTAAACATCAATGGTCAGTCCCGACCCAGTGCCCCTCACTCCCAACCTGCTTCCCCCGCCACCCCCAGCCCCCCAGTGTGTGGGGCAAGTGGTGGGTGTGTTGGGTGTGGGGGACCCAAACAGCCCCTTGTGGATTTCCCACATTTTTCTCCTTGTAAAAGAGAATCCATTTTTAAAACCTGTTGATCCATTTATAAAGTTTGTCTGCGACCCTTTCATATACTCTTGTGACCCGTGGGTTGAAAGACACTGGACTAGACTTCATAGCTTCATAGTGATCAAGTGCTGGAGGGGAACTCAAAGGGGAAGGTGAGGAACGTTATTTGTCTGACAGATACACAAAACTGTACAGTCCCTCTGTCATCAGTTGGAAAAAGTTGTGCGTGTCTCTTGAGACCCTTCTTTTAACAGGATACATCTACCTTTTAACTACACTGTGTTCCAGGTTAGAAGCTGTGAGCAGAATATCTTCTTCTCTATTGGGATAACAATGATCTTAAACCAGGATCTTACTAGGCTAATTTAAACATGCTAGAAGGGTTGCTAAACGATTAAGGTTCAAAGAAAGCCCATTAGTGAAATCAGCCAGTGCCCCTGAGATCAAGTCGTGTTTGCTGCAAAGAGCTTTTTTTCTCTAGCGGCTAGGGTGGGAGTGTTGGGCCCAGCAGATGTAGTGATAGCTATGCGTTTTTCTCTGCTCTGTAGTTGGTGTTCCTGTTTGATTAGCGACTGCCTAGCGAGATTCTGCAGTAACTGTGCACACCTTGTGCCACTTTGGGGCAATTACTCTGTGCTTTATATGTTTTTTTTGTATGATTCAGGTTGTCAGGGGGCTGTCTCAGTGACTGGTTTTCAGAGCAGGAGGTCTCAAAACCAATCCGAGCGCTTCACCTGGTTTCCATAAATATGGAATGTGTGAGGCCTTGTGGCTCCAGTACAGGAGGGGGAGTTGGGACAACTTGTTCTGCTACTAATGACCTGTGTAACCTGCAGCGTGTGGCTTAACTCGGTTTCTTCCCCTGTGACATTACTGTAAGGTCTGTTATTGGGGTGGGTGGTGGTAGTGCTTCTACAGTACTTTTTAGACGGTTGCCTGCAAACCACGATAGAGATTCAACTTCTTTATTAGCAGAGAGATGCAAATCTTGAGACTGGGTCCCAGCATGCACTTGGGATCCGTGGGGTGTTACCGGGTGCGAAACAAGCAAGTGGCTGCAAGTAGCTGGCTGGCATATGGGAGCATGGCCAATAAGCTACTCTCTCTGTCATTGCTAATTGCTGGAGTTTGGAGGGTGTGTTAATTCTCCAGGGTAACCCACAAGAACCATCTTAAAGCCAAAATATTTTGGCTTAAATTTTCTGGGAAGTGCATGTGTGGTTGTATAGTTTGGGTACAGAATTACATGCTCCGTTGCAGTTTTTTCACATAGCCGCACGTGTGTCTTGCCAGTTGCATGCGCAGATGCTGCTGTTCTTAGGCAGACAAATAGGGCAGTGACTCAGGAGAAGGAGCAAGGATTATTGATGAGAAGAGCAGTTTCCTGCTGAAGTGTGATTTTTTTTTTTTAAGGAGGGCCAAAAAGGGAAGAGATGTGGAAGTGTCCCTGTCCCAGGGGGAAGGCCTTTCTAGAGGCACTGAGGCAGTAAGCAAAGAAAACCCAAACACATGAAGCAGAGTGTGGGAAAGGAAGATGAAGGAGAAATGAGATGCCTTGAGGTGGATCGTTGTGTTGCACTCGCTGTGAAGGCTTGTGCTTGGCTTGATTTCCAGGGGTCACGCAGTCGCTGTCCATTGGAACAGCTTAGTTTCTGCCAGGATGTGAATAAATCTATTGCATCTAAAGAAACTTGGAGGTTGCGGAATTAGGACGACTGGACTGAAGGCATCCAGCCAGGCAAGGGAAATGGCCAGTGATGCGTGGAGGCTGCGTGTGCAGTCAACATGTCTCTCTTGTGCTTGCATGGAGTCTGGAAATTAAACTCAGCAAGGACAGCCAGAGGGCCTCTTTGGAAATGATCTCTGAAAGCAGAATGGAAAAGAGATGTGGGGGATGTCTGTAGGAGTGTTTCTCCTTGGGTACAAGGATTTAGCCCAGGAGGAGAAACTAAAGCTGTTGGCAAAGCCTTTGCCAAGAGGCCAGGATTCAGGGAAAATCCCCAGCAGAGCTGGTGTTTGGAGACAGCAGTTTAATGCTAGCTGCTAAGGTCTAGTCATAGGGACCCTAGAAATGTGAGTCAGGGAGACAGCTTGCTTGTACTGGATCTGTACTAAGGATAACATGAGGGTTAAGTCTTCTGAGCTGTTGATGTAGCATGTTTCACTACAATGATGTTCTCTGTAAAGAAAGTTTAAAAAAATCCCTGTTTAAAAAAAATTGTTTGGGTACAACCTTTGAGGAATTTGCTGTCAGAGCTTTGGGAGATGCAGCCAGAGCTGTAAGAATAATTTGTATTTAAAATGTGCATTACTCAGGGGTCTCCAAGCACTTCCTGGAGGTGAGGGGAAGCAACTTGGCCAAACTGTTCTAGGGAGGAAGCAGCGGAAGTGGCAGTAAAACATAGCTGGCCTTGCTGCTACAACAAGGTTTCATTTAGTGCTTCAGCTCTGGGAACTTAGGTTCAAACCCAGCTCTGGCTTGGTTGAACATGAAGATGTACTTGAGGAATCCCATCATCCCTAGCAGATGCACGTCCTTGTTGCAGAGGTATCACAAGAGATGACTGCCTTGGCATTTTCTGCTTTGCTTTTACTCCTCTGCTAATGCTTGCACACCACCTGTAAAGGGTGGACCTGCCTCTAGCTGGCACTAAGGATATCAACCTTCCTGCTGTGGTTTGCTGGATCATTTGCACTGGGGCAGTTATTCCTCTTTTCCACCCTTCCTCCGCTCCCAATTTCACCAGTGAGTACCCTGGTGTACAAGCGTTTCCCTTTGGATAGAGCAGCAGACAGCAGTACCTTCTCATCAGCACGGCAGGCAGAGGCTTTTGGCCCAGCATGCTAGCAGGGTGTCCTTTCCCATAGCACATTCCTCTGAATTGCAATTCAGCATTGTGCTTTCAGGGGAAATTTGTGATGGGCTTTTCAACCTGAGTGGTTGCCATATACACGTGCCACCATTTTTTTTTCTCAAAAGCTCCCAGTGAAAGCCTTGTGTTAGGATCCAGGCATTAGAAGTGGAATGGTGGAGCACCTGTGAACATCAAGACTGAATGGCCCAAATCCTTCTGACGATTTTGGTATCTCCTGGGAATCGGCTCAGCGGTTACCAGAGACCCACATGTATTGGGCATGCATTTTAAAATCCCAGTGGCCTGATCTTTGTTTTCTTATGGCAGTTGCATTTTCAGTTGAAACCATGTAGACCTGCAGATGTGCAGGGAGCTATTGTGGTGGCTCAAATCTGTCTTAAGGGAGATCGAAAAATAGGAACATAAAGCAGGTGAAAACATAGGAATGGGGCTGAGTTTTCCAGACTGAAGCAGTCAGTACCATGCACTGGACTGGAACCTTGCCCTCTGAAACAGACCACTTTGCAGGCTAGAAGATAGGTTTTTCCCCTTCTAGCTTCTGACACTGCTCCCTAATTTTTCTCCTTCCTTTTTCACCAGGGAAGAATTTCAGGGCAGTAGAACACCAGCCATCTGTCCTTGAAACGGGGCTGCTGAGCGGGTATAGAATCGATTCATTTTTGAGATGGGAAAGGGCTCATGGGGGTTGTTTTCTTTATCCCCCAGGCCATGCAGGATAACTCCCTGCAAGTGCATTTTCACATGCTTTGTCCCAACTTGCTTTGAACATCCCATGTGATGGAGCTCTTGCTTTGAGAAGGAAGGGGATGCCATTGTTCCAGTAGATCTTCTGGCTTGGAAGATACTGCTGGGTTCACAATTGTATCATTTCTCTAGAGCAGTGATTTTTCAAATTGTGGTCTGCGGGCCACTAGGGATTCACAGACTATGTGTAAGGGGTCTGCGAAAGATGACTGTGATCAATCAAAAGTATTTGAATACCCACACTTACCATTCGTAGGAGTTTGCACCTCTATTTGAAATTTCCAAAGGGGTCTGCACCTCCATTCAAAATTTTTTAGGGGTCTGCAAATAAAAAAAAAAGGTTGAAAACCACTGTTCTAGAGTGTCTTTCAGGTAACCAGAATAGTTCAAGGAGAGCTTGTCTGCATGTCTTCATGATATTCTCCAAGCCACCAACACAATGATATAGCCTGTAGCTGAGTCCTTGTCATCTCAT